TAATATCCTTATAAATTAGAAATAGGAGAAGACTCAGAGAGACTGCGCATTTTTTATAAATTATTTGTGGAATGTTATCGGTACCAGCTGAAATGGACGGTTTAAGTCTATTTAAGGCATCATAAACATCCAGTAGTGTTATTTCAACCTCGCAGAGAGAAGTGCAACAAATTCTATTTAAAACAAGAAGCATGAGTATCATCCTCAACAAATGCACTGGAAAAATACTGATTAAATACATTTGCAATATCAATATCAGAGGTGATCACATTATCATTATGTTGCAGAATTAATTGTTTACGTGGATTCGCAAATTTTTTATTGATATAGATCCAGAAAGAATTTCTATCAATATGTAAAAGTTGTTCTTGTTTTCTTGAAAAGTAATTATGAATAGCGCTACGGAAACTTTTTAAACTTTCTTTATATGCAGAGAAATCATTTAGCAATTTGGTTAATTGATATTTATTATAAAGCTTCTTGACACTTTTCTTAAGGGATTTTAGAAAAGTGGGAATCGACCTAATGTTCGTTTTTCTTAAAGGTATATATTGGTCTATTAGATATAATATGATGCTATTAAGAAAATTAACTTTTTCATCGATAGAGGGAGTTAAACAGAATAAGAAATCCCAGTTTATTTCCGCGAGGATAGAGTTAAAGATTTCATAATTACAGTGACGGTAACTTCTAGAAAATCTCGAGGGAGGTGAATAACGGTCTAATTTTAATGAAGTATGAATGACATTGTGATCACTATTACAAGTTCCAAGACTCTAATACTATCAACAAGAGAGGTAGAGGTAGCTAACACAACATCTAATATAGTGTTGTACCTAGTGGCGACCTTAACATGTTGCTGTAGACCAACATAGGTATAAAAGTTTAGAAAGTCCTCTTCAAATTTATTGCTACTTTTTAAAAACTATTTTCCCAATATATGTTTGGCATATTAAAATCACCAACAATTATATAATCAGTACCAATTAATTTTAATTTGAGCAACAAGTTTTTTTTTTTCAATATTTGGAGAAAAAAAAATTATTAAGAAATTATTCTCGATTTATTTTATTTTACTTGGAAATTATTTCTGGTAACAATTCAGCTAGGTTCAGCTAAGTTCTCTTGAACTTTTAATTTTTTTTTTCTTTTTTTGTCTTTGGCAGGAGTAAACCTGCTATTATGTCAAAAATCCGGGTGGCTGGTGGAGATCCACCTGTAGCTCTATCCGCAAGTGACTCTATGGTGAAAGGGTCAGATACATTTGATACGGCGTCAGCGTCTCCCGATGCGCATGATACTTCGAACCCGGTGGTACATGCGATAAGTTTACAATCCGGGCTTAAAACGATCCCAAGGATGATAAATAAAATGTGTTCTCAAGCCAAGGTAATTGCTCGAAACCTGTCAAGAAGAGGAACGGCCCTTTGCACGCGCGGCGAGGCATTAGCCGTATCAGCGTGGAACGTTAGAACGCTTATGGACGTTGCAAGTCAAGCGATCACTATCCACACCCTGTCTAAGTATCGTGTCGATATCGCTTGCTTGTCAGAGGTCCGTCTTCTTCACTTTGGGTCTCGAGAAGTTATTAATCCTGGTTCAGAGCAGAGATACTGGCTATATCACTGTGGTGCTTTGAATAACTCAGGACGAAATGACGTAGCGATTGTCATGTCTGACAAGGCCCATTCCGCTTTGATTGAGTGGAAACCGGTAAACGACCGTATGGCCTATGCCCGTTTTAGGTAAATTCTACAATATCTCGGTCATCAGTGTCTATGCTCCAAAGCTGTCGGCCGTGATAAAGACAAGTTCTATGCGGAACTTCAACTGCTAACAAAGTCTCTACCGAAACATGACATGATTATAATCGGGAGAGACTGGAATGCTAGCGTAGGTCATAATGCAGCTGCGATGACCTCAACAATGGGCAAATATAGCATCGGAGATCGGTGTGCCAATGGGGAACGTCTTCTTCGTTATGCCGAAGAGCATGAACTTTTTGTTACTAATGCTTGTTTCCGGCATCATAAAAAATATCTAGTCACGTGGAACTCCCCGGACAACCAACTCTTCAACCAGATTGATTATATCTTAATCAATCGCCGTTGGAAGAGTTCCGTACTAGATAGTCGTTCCTATCGCGGAGCTGAAACGGGCAATCTTCATGGATCTGACCATGTTATAGTCCGAGCCAAGATCCGCATAAAATTGACAACTCGCCGAAAACAGCATCCCCCATGTTCTTTCAACTATCTCAAACTAAAAAATTCGGGGACAGTGAGCGCATTTCAAACTGAATTATTGAAGCATCTCAATGATACAAATATCAATGATTTCTCTGGAACGGCAAATGAATACTGGTGCAAACTAAAGGAATGTCTCCGAAAATCAGCCACTTCCACGCTAGGGCATATTAGTATGAAGTGCGCTAGTTGGGTATCGCAAGTAACTATCCAATTGATTGAAAAAGCTGCCAAGGCGAATGTCAGCTGATCCTGACTACCGGGTGCTTCGAAGATTTGCAACGAAAGCAGCAAGGTGGGACAGAAATCTCTATTGGAGTAGAATGGAGGCGGCGGCTCGATTGGGCGACAATAGGAAACTATTCTGCCTTCTTCATAAAGCAACTATGACTCGGGGAACGATTAGTGAAATGGTAAGAGACAGCAATGGCGTTCTAATTAAAAGTATTAAGGATCGCCTCATAAGATGGAAAGAATTCTTTGAGGCCAAACTTAACCATGAAGCGCCATCTGTTGCCCCTGATATAGCTGATACGTTTGCCGAAGCATACGTTTGCAATTGCGAGCCTCCAACAGAAGAAGAAATAATTTCAGCTATCCATAAGCTTAAGGCCAACAAAACTCCTGGAGAAGATGGTCTTCGGGCTGAGCTTTTCAAATGCTGTCCATTGTCCTTCATAACGCACCTTCAACAAATGTACTCTCTAGTATGGGAAAAAGAAATATTACCAGATTGGAGCAAAGCAATTCTACTCCCAATTCTCAAGAAAGGTGATAGGACATGTTGCGACAATTATCGAGGAATCAGCGTATTAGACGTCTCAGCAAAAATTTTTGCTTCCCTGCTACTCAACAGACTTATGGAAGTACGAAAAGATGCGCCCTAATCAAGCTGGTTTCAGACCAGGGCGCGGTTGTGCTGACCAGATATTCACGTTAAGAAGGGTGTTGGAACATCGCTTCAAATATTTGCAACCCACTGTCACGTGTTTCATCGACTTTGTGGCTGCCTTTGATTCAATTGATAGAGCGGCGCTTTGGAGGGTGATGGAACGTGATGGTGTTCAGAGAAAATCATTAGACTGATAAAGGTATTTTATGAACGCACGTCGGCGCAGTCTGTGTATATGAGGAGCTGACAGATTCCTTCGAAATAAGAACAGGTGTCCGTCAGGCCTGCGTCCTTTCCCACACAATATTCAGCTATGCGATAGACTGGATAATGGACACTGCTTGTCGGCACTCAAGAGGTGTCCGAATTAGTCCAGAGCATCGTATCACAGATCTTGAATACGCTGATAATAATGTAGTCCTTTTTGCTGACAGTTATAACGAAATGCAAGTAATACTAAATAACGTGTCAGAAACTGCAGCAAGAATCGGACTCAGGATCAATGTAAATAAAACGAAAGTCTTTTCGTCTTATGTGCAAGAAGTTGATAAAAAGCCTCTTTTTGTAAATTTATTGCCGGTTGAGGAAGTGCCTGATTTCAAATACCTTGGGTCCACTCTAATACCAAATGGACAGGCAAAAGATAATATTATAACTCGGATCACGGCAGCTAGAAATGCGTTCTTCTGGTTGACGAAACCTTTATGGAATCGTCGTGAAATCACCATAAAAACGAAAGTCCGCATCTATATTGCCGTGATCCGTTCGATCTTATTATATGGTTCTGAGATATGGCCAATGAGAGTGGAGGATATTAAAAAGTTATCTGCCTTTGACCACTCTTGTCTAAGGTACATATTACGGGTTCGCCGAGTGGATAAAATCTCACTACATCGCATCCACCTTCGTTCAAATACCACTTGCATAAATAATGTTATCACTGAACGCCGCCTTCGCTGGTTAGGGCACATTCTCCGTCGTCCACCACACGAGTTGACGCATATTTCGTTATTTGCTAAACCGTGTAACGGTTAGCGTCAAAAGCGAGGTGGGCCAATCAAGACCTGGACTGATACGGTGATAAAAAATTTTGAACGTGTAGGTAGGTGGACCAGCAATATATGGGCTTAGACGATGGAAAAAGGAATGGCTTCCATTACTGTCGACGATGGCATCAGACCGCGCCGCTTAGAAGCGTCTTACCCTTGTAGCCGTTGGAGCCTAACCAGTAATGGTGAGAGCTGTTAGAAGAAGAAGAAGAAGAAGTTGTAAAGGTCCCTAATGAATTTGCTTCCATAGCCCGGTGGGCGATATAGATTTAAAAGGGAAATATTTCTGTTATTAAGATAAATTTTAATTACCAAAGATTTTAAAGAAGAGCAAACATAATCATCGAAGGTTATAAATTTATAATAATCAGGAATAAGCATGATAAGCCCACCTCCACGAATATTTGAACTATTTATTGTTCTTTCCTTGCGTGATATTACAAAGCCGTCAAAGTTCGCAATTATCAATAGAATCATCCAACCACGTTTCACTGATACAGAAAATACTGTTTGGGTTATCAATTAGTAAAAGTCTTAAGTCATAAAGTTTATACTTTGAACTTCTTGCGTTAAATAAAGATAAATTACCTCCTATTTTATTAACCTTACTTGATAACTTGTCCTAGGCTGCTGCAAACTGATGAGAATATGTTGGAATCAAAAAATTCCTCGTCGGTGCAATCCATTGGCGAAGCATCCGCCTGAGTTCCACTATTTGAAGATTTCTGACGACATAATTTTTCAGATTGAGACTTTGATTTCCTGTATAACATTCTTTTCGCAGATGTTTATCTAGCAATAATTCTCTTTTCGTCAGATCTTTTCGCAAAAAACTTCCAGGGGGAACGATCGAGTGCACATCTTTTTACGCAAAACAGACATGGCCATATGCTTATCTTCTAGACGAATTTTAAGTACTCGTGGCCTGCCTGTCCCCTTCCTTCCATGACGACGGACCTCCTTAATGAATTCAGTCTTGAACCCAGCGGCAACTACAATGTTTTCTGCTAAAAGCCTATCGGCAGTAGATTCATCATCCGTAGATTTCTCTGGAATGTTTATGCCAACTAGACATAGCTCTTTTTCCTTCTTTTCAAAATATTCTTCAATGGTTTCCAATACTTGTTCAGTTTCAATTTTTGAATGCTCGAAGTTGCCCAAAGACGAAGCTTTCAAATTATTAATATCATTCTTAAGTTCTTCGTTGACCTTTGTAAGTATTTCAATAGATCTAGTTAAATGCATAATTAGATCTTGTTGTTTTTCATATTTCTCAGTAATGGAAGCTAGTTGGTACCTCATATCCTCAATAGTTTTATTTAAACAGTTAACATCATTATTGGAAACGGCGGCGTAAGCTACCTTTTTCGGTGCCATTTGGAATTTCCTCTTATTTTACAAGTGAACGGTATAAAACAATAAGATCAATTTGAAAAGAATATCTTTCAGACGAATGTGATAAGATTAATGTATTCCTTCTATAGTTTAGCGAAGCACAATACAATAAAATAATGAAAAACAGAGAATGACTAACACAACCGCTCACGAGAATAGAATAAATTAGCATATTCTACTGAAACATATAAATAAAAGCATATATTTTTATTATTCATTAGAATGACAAATATTAATATTTGAAGTCTCGATTTTGGACAGAACCATGTAATATTCACCGAAATATTTGTCTGTAAAGAATCTCGCAAGTTTAGCAAATTTTATCAAATTCTGATATACTGATTGTAAATTAAATATTCGATATTGCGCTATTGTTTCTTAAAGAAGCCACTTGTCATTGGTACTGTCGTCGAATGGTCAACATGTACACGGACATCGCTCAGTAATTGATAATTTGAGGCAAAACACCATGGATTCGATGGATCTCTCCTCCTTCAGTGAAAGGAGTCCTGCCGTCAAAAGTAAAATCCGGATGCTTGCGGGTATCTACATTTCTACCCTCAAATGACTCCCTTATGTACGAATTTCACTCCTGAAAACCACCGGAATCAAAGCAGTGACGTTCAGCAGCAATGTTCATTGCTTAAATAATTCTTTTCAACCAAAATCTCGAATGATTCTTCTTCTAACGAACTAAGCAAACTCCTCAGAGAAAACCACAGAAACCGCTGGGGAAAAGAAATATAGATATAGCTCAATCGTACCAACTTGCATTATTGCACCAATTTTTATGGTGATTCAATGCGTTTTTTTATAACCACAATAAAAATATTACGAATTACTAAAAATGTCATAACAGATCAGAACTGCCACGAATTCTTGTTCTGGTTAGCCAATATCAGCATAACTTTTGCAAACACCCAGAAATGGAATAAGTGGTTAAATACGCTCCTCACAATTTTATTTCATTTTTTACCAAAAAAATAATTTTAATAATAATTTAATAAATTCTGCGGCCGTAAATAACTTTCTTTTAGGTTTCAGGGTTATAATGCAATATAGTGAATATTTGAATAAACAGACTGTTTCTTACAGTAATAAAAATAAAAAAACTGATAAACCATAACAACAAATAAAACAAATTCACCAAAGTATTTTATAGTTTGAATTTTGAAAGTTTACAAGTTTACAAGCTGAAGAAAGGAACAATTGTGATACAATTGTGTGATACAATTTTTTGTATAATTTGTTACAAAAAAAAAAGTATCAGTGACATATATATGGATATATATGATCAATGAAAAGATATATCGCATTCGTTTGAAAATCAATGAATGAATGGAGAAAATAAAAATTCAATCCTAATGCTGTGGACAAAAAGATCAGTTAGATTCGTCACAAAGTTCTATTTGCGCCATTTCTTTTAAATCTGGTGAAACCTATAATTAATGAAAATCATTGAAAATCACAAAATGAATATAACTAGAGCAAAGGAATTTAGTAAACCTTAAAAACTTTTTTCCCTTGTGGGTGGTAATGATCATTCTTCATGAGTTCTCTACCAGAGACCTGTGGGACTAAAGCGTTCTTAGCTGTTAATATGCTCTTCTGGATAGAGATCTTTGATGTTCAGCAGATTCCTGGAATCTGTTGAAGCACCTTTCTAGTTTAGAGATTAGTTTCAAATGCTCCAGGCATCACTGGAATTACTATGGCCTTTATTTCCCATCTTCCCTAGTTCTTCTTTCAGCCCTTTCTCTAACTTCTCATATTCCTTCTTCCTTACGTTCCTGTCGCTTGGTACTGTTATATATCACCGGTGCTGATTTCTGATTCTTATTACTGGGATATCTTGTTGGTAAATGTTGTTGAGTTCGGGTCATTTATTTGCTCTGACAAACAGGTTATTTCTAAGCTTTTTTTTAAAGAGTTTTCACCATTAAAGGTTTAACTTGCTCCGTTGACTTGTCGCATTGGACAAATATGCCAGATGGTCTCTTGGCGATAGAAATACAAATGAGTCGCCAGCATCACCCAGATTTCTAAGCTATTATTGCGACGTATTTATTTTCTCGAAATTTCCTTTTCAAACGAGCTAATTTCTTTTTTCTTTTCTTTTCCCAAATTCAAATAGAATTGTAAATAAAATATGTGTAATATATATATCTATAACTGTAAAATAAATAAATAAATATATATATATATATATATAAAATTTATAACATTATAAAATAAATGATCTCATTGTATTTAAATAACTATATTATCTTCGGCAGGAGAAAATCTGCCATGCCAAAAATCCGGGTGATTGCTGATAACCTACCTTTTATCTCCAAATGACTCTGTGGTGAAAGAGCCAAATATTCTTGATATGACGTCCGCATCTCTCGACACGCATGATGCTCCCAGTCCGTAGTATATGCGATAAGTATACAATCCGAGCTTAAAACGATCCCAAGGCTGGTAATTGCTCGAAACCTACCAAGTGGATAGCTCTCTGCATACCCGGCGAGGTTTTAGCCGTATCAGCATAAAAGGCCAGAATACTTATGGACGTTGCAAGTCAAGCGATCGCTGCCCAGACCCTTTCTAAATATCGTGTGGATATCGCTTGTCGAAGGCCCGTCTTCCTCATTCGTATCTCGAGTGATCATTAACCCTGGCTCAGAATAGAGGTACTGGCTATATCACTGTGGTGCTTCGGATAACTCGGGACGAAGTGGCATAGCGATTGCCATGCTTAACGAAGCCCACGATCTCCCTTTGATTGAGTGGAAATAGGTAAGCGATCATGTATGCCCGTCTTAAGGTTAAGTTTTGTAATATCTCGATCATAGTGTCTATACTCCAACTCTGTCGGCAGATGACCGGGATAAAGATAAGTTCTATGCGGAACTTCAACTGCTAACAAAATTTCTACCTGAACATCACATGGCTATTATCGGAGGAGATTGGAATGCGCGTGTAGATCATAATGCCGCTGCGATGATCTCGACAAATTGGCAAAGATGGCATCGGAGACCGGTGCACCGGTGCAATGGAAAATGCCTTCGTTATGCCGAAAGCATGAACTTTCTTCACTGATACTTGCTTCCGGCATCGTAGAAAACATCTGGTCACGTAGAACTCCCCTGATAACCAACATTAATCAGATTGATTATACCTTAGTTAGTCGCCGCTGGAAGAAATCTGTGCTAGATAGTCACCACTCCTATCGCGACGTTGAAACAGGCAACCTTCATGGATCTGACCATGTTATGGTTCGAGCCAATCCGCATAAAACTGACGACTCGAAGAAAACAGCATCCCCCAAGATCCTTCAACTACCTTAAACTAAAAAATTCGGGGACAGTAAGCGAATTTCAAACTGAATTACTGAAGCATTTCAATGATATCAATGACTTTTCTGAGAACGGCAAATGAATATTGACCCAAACAAGGAATGCCTCCGAAGATCAGCCACTTCCACGATAAAGCACACTAGTAGGAAATGCGCTAGTTGGGTATCAGAAGCAACAACTGTCCAACTGTTTGAAAACACTGTCAAAGCGCGAATGATCTTGACTAGGGAAGATTTGCAACGAAAGCAGCACAGTGAGACAGAAATCACTATTGGAGTAACATGGCCTCAAGAATGGAGAGGGTGGCTCGTTTAGGCGATAATAGGAAACAATTCCGCCTTCTTCATAATGCAACTATAATTCGGGGAATGAATGAAATGGTAAGGGACAGCAATGGCGTGCCAGCCAAGAGTATTAAGGACCATCATATACGATGGAAAGAATTCTTTGAGGCCAAACTTAACCATGAAGCGCCATCTGTTGTCCCTGATATAACTGATACGTTTGGCGAACCATACGTTTGCAATTGCAAGCCTCCAACAGAAAAAGAAATAATTTCCGTTATCCATAAGCTTAAAGCCAATAACACTCCGGGAGAAAATGGTTTTCGGGCTTTTCAAATGTTGTCCATCATCTTTCATGACGCACCTTTTACTTTCAAATATATTCCCTGGTAAGGAAAAAGGAAATATTACCAGATGATTGGAGCAAAGCAATTCTGCTTGCAATTCTCAAGAAAGGTGATAGGACATACTGGACAATTATCGAGGAATCAGCCTACTAGACGTTTCAGCAAAAATTTCTGCCTTTCTCTTGCTTTTCTGCTACTCAGACTAATGAAAGTACGAGACAGCAGGATGCGTCCTAATCAAGCTGAATTCAGACCAGGGCGCGGTTGCGCTGACCAGATATTCGCGTTAAGAAGGGTATTGGAACATCGCTTCAGATATTTGCAATCCACTGTCACCTGTTTCATCGACTTTGCGGTGCCTTTGATTCAATTGATACAGCAGCGCTTTGAACGATGAAATGCAACGGTGTTCCACAGAAGATCATTCGACTCATAAAAGTATTATTTTATGAGCGTACGTCGACGCAGGTCTGTGTATATGGGGAACTGACAGACTCGTTCGAAATAAGAACTGATGTCCGTCAAGGCTGCACCCTTTCCCCTACAATATTCAATTATGCAATAGACTGGATAATGGACATTGCTTGTCGGCACTCAAGAGGCGTCCAAATCAGTGCAGTTCTTGCGGTTGACGAAACCTTTATGGAACCGCCGCGAAATTACAGTTTAAACGAAAGTCCACATCTATATAGCTGTGATATTCGTTCGATCTTGCTATATGGCTCTAAGAATGGCCAATGAGAGTGGAGGATATTAAGTTATCTGCCCTTGCTTCTGTCTAAGGTATCACAAGATCGCATCCATCTTCGTTCAAATACCACTTGCGTAAATACTGTTATCACAAAGCGTCGTCTTCGGTGGTTAAGGCAAGTTCTCCGTCGTCCACCACAGGAGTTGACGTATATTTCGTTATTTGCTAAACCGTGTGACGGCTGGCGTCAAAAGCGAGGTGGGCCAACCTGGACTGATACGGTGATAAAAAATTTTGAACGTGTAGGTAGGTGGACCAGCAATATATGGGCTTAGACGATGGAAAAAGGAATGGCTTCTATTACTGTCAACGATGGCATCAGATCACGCCGCTTGGAAGCGTCTTACCCTTGTAGCCGTTGGAGCCAGCCTAACCAGTAATGGTGAGAGCTGTTAGAAGAAGATATCTGGTTGATTGACCAGTAGTTGTTTGTCTGGATGGATGGAGAAGTGCACAGGATCTTTGCTCTATTATTCTCTATAATTTTCTGAGGAATTTCCCATTTAATCCTGAGATGGCTTAGAGCCATATACAGAGCATGTTCCGGTACACATGTTCCGGTAAATGATGCCAGCTACATGGTTATGTGGTTCCTTTCAATGTATGTTGTTCCTACTTGCATTAAATCCTGCCAATATATGTTGGAGAAATACAATTAATAAATATATAGTTATATAATATATATAGATATATAAATATATAAATATATAGTTATGTTTATATTTATATAAGCAAATATGTATTGGACTGTACATAACTATATGTAGCAGCTAGCTATACATATATATGTATATATACATAAATATATTTGTATATAGAGTTTGAGAACAGAACGGTTTAGTGGGATATTGTTCAGTTCCGAGCGCTGATGCCGAAGTTCTACCCCGCAGCAGTAAACCTAACCAAAATTTCGGGTGGCGGGCGATTACCTGGTATATTTGTCCAGTGCGACAAGCTAGAGGAGCGAGTCTAACCAGTAATGGTGAATACTATTAAAGATATATATATGCCCTCTATATGGTTTATACCCTTCCAAGAATTGCGGGATTCCTCAGAAAATTGGAGAAGTAAATATGAGAAGTTTGAGAAATACCAACGATTGGAAGTATAGGAAAAGTTTAAAGGTGATAATTCGAGCACTTGGAAATATGACCCGTAAACTAGAAAAGTGAATCTATGTTCAGAACAGCGCATTATTAGGAGCTAAGATACGCAGAATTCTCAATCTCTCGAAAGATTCTTTTTTTTTAAAGCTTAACTTAGTTTTATAGCTTAGCTAAGAACTATAAAACTATAAATATAAGGATCAAGGAAAGCTTAGAATACTAACTTTGAAATCGCACGCTGTATTCTCAAAGATATCTTCCACAGCAAGGTCTTTACGGAATTCAATTAAAGTTAGCCCTTCAATAGGATCCACATCAAACACTGCCTGAATAAGGGAATTCAATGTGATTCAATGATAAACTGCAAATCCTTCTCAAAGAACATGAAAAAATAAAATTTTAAAAATGGTATAAATAGGCATATAAATATATATACCATATCTGTAATTATCCTTGATACACATTTAGCTCCAGTAATTGGTAAAGTGCAACTGTCGAGTATTTTTGGTTGACCTTTCGACGTATGTTCCATGGCAACAATCACTTTTGTTCCTAAGGCGCTAACAAGATCCATCGCACCACCCATTCCTTTCACAATTTTTCCCTAATTTAGTAGTTCCAATTTAATAAATTTACAAAAATCTCTTTTGAATCACTTTCAATATTATGATTATGCACAGAATAAAAAATTTTTGAATAATATATAATGACCAAAAAACCATAAACGAATTAAAGATAAAAACTTACAGGCACCATCCAATTTGCAAGATCACCATAACGTGAAACTTCAAGAGCACCCAGTATAGACAGCGCAATATGACCACCTCTGATCATAGAGAAAGATTCATCGCTGCTGAAAATAGCAGCGCCAGGTAATAAAGTGATCGTTTCTTTGCCAGCATTTATCAAATCTGGATCTTCATCGCCCTTCTTTGGATATGGTCCCTATAATAGTTTTGGCCTTCAAAATTACATGCTTTAAATTCCTCATTAAAAGCCCAAAAAATATTGCTGTAGAATTTAAAAGGAATTAAAAAAAGATCTAATTCAAACATTTTAAAGAAAATACCACGCCAAGGAGACCATTTTCACTTTGTAAATGCACTATCATTCCTTTAGGCAGATAACTGGGACAGAGTGTAGGTATACCAATTCCAAGATTTACTAAAAGCAAAAATTTTTTACAATGCAATCAATAAAAAATGAGGTTATAGGAGAAAATCGAAACACAGTTGACATCTCACCATACATTCCATCTTTAAATTCTAAAGCTGCTCTTCTGGCGATAATTTCCCGCAATTTTTCCCCTGACGTACTTGCTTCGCTTTTCTCTTTTCTAATTTTTAACTTTTCGATAGGTTTTCTATAGTTTTTTCCAAGAACAAGACGGTGACAATAAATTGAAGGAATGTGCACCTAAAATGTATTTTGAAAAGAAAATTTCAAATATAACACGAAAATTCAAAATTTTCATTTATTTATCGATGAAGGCAAATTTTTTATATGAATAATGCATAAAATGAGAAAAATTTTTATGAGATTCACATATATATTTAACAAAAATTCTCCAAAAATTTCATTTATTAAGCAAGTAATATAGTAATATAACGTTGAAAAAAACTCTTTTCACTGATACGAAGATATTGATGATAACGGTAAATAACAAAACTGGTATATCATTTTTGGAATTCCATCTGTTTAATAAATAATTTAGTGACAATAAATGAAATAACCTCGCTTGGACCTATCTGCCCGACCTCTACGATTTCTTCAACCTCTACGATTGAGATTTTTGCTGCTTTGCACATCGGTATATTAAAATTTCCAGCACTCTGTCTAAACAACTTTGTTTATATGAAAATTTTATGAATCAAATCTCAGAAAATCTCACTCTTATTATATCATAATCATATCATAATTATTTCACTATCATTAATATTGCAGTAGATATATATTGTTGAAAACTATATTCTAATTGGGGAGTCCCAATATTTGCCAAATAGTCACATGAGAATAGAATCAAAATTCAAAATTAAGTGATATATCACATGGAACTTTTTTATATTTTTAAGTTAGTCCTCTCAAAAGGATGATGGAACAAAATTGTTAATAAACCATTGTTTTGCCTGCAACCGACACAACATTCTGCTGGCACAATTTCATTTTTTTTTATTGGCTCATTTACGATGCCGCTGTTACTATTATTATTTTATTATTATTTAAAGAGAAATACAGGTGGTAATGGCCATCGATATGAATTTTCTATCCCCAAGTGATACTCTGGTAAAAGTGCTCTTAGTAGTTAGTGGAACAAGCTAAATCACAAAAGGGGACTGCTGATAAATATGAATCAATTCAATGAGACATCAGGTTTATTAGAAAAAATGTTTCATAGTAAAAATCTCTAAATTTCTCATGAATGAGATCTGAAGGAAAAAAGATCTAAACTGTTTGGAAATTAAATAAATTATTTGTGTGCGATATGTGGGATCTTTTCGAAACAAAGATTTCAGTTCTTCTGAAGCTAAGATAGACACATTGGCGAAAATTGACAAGAAAGCGTTCAATAGATGATAACTGCAGTAGAAAGCAATATTTATTGGCAGCCAAAGTTATACTGTTGATATATATTACTTTTACCACTCACTATCAATGCAGTTATTAATATTAATCCTAAATCTGCAACTTTGATTTTCAAAAATTAAATAAAATAGGATTAACAATTACCTGATGAGAATATTTCCTAATTTGTCCGCTTTCCACGCTTTTATTAAGGCAAAATCACCACTTATTGCTTCTTCCATGATATAATTTCTTCCGTGGAATATACGCTCATGAAAAAAAATATTTTGTTAGAAAAGAACTAGCAACAAAAAAAATATCAAATTTCTAAGAAGCTCAATATGTGAATACCTCCTTGGGAGCACTGACCACTTCAACTTCGCCATTTTCTTTAAATTTGATAGGCGAACCACCATAATGTATTAAGGTCCCATAACCAGCTGGAGTATAAAAAGCTGGAATGCCTGCACCACCTGCTCTAATTCTTTCAGCTAATGTACCCTAAAAAAAATGGCAAAAGACAATTAAATGAAATTGAGTGTGCAAAGAAATGAAATACTTGTGGAGTAAACTCGAGCTCTAGTTCTCCAGAAAGGTACTGCCTGATAAATTCGGAGTTTTCACCGACGTACGATGAGATCATCTTCTTAATCTATAAAAAAAAGAGATTATTAAATTCATATTGCTTAAATTCATATTTTCCAATGTAAAAAAGGACTGAAATCATTTAAATACTATACCTGTTTATTTTTCAGTAAAAGACCAAGGCCACAATTATCAACACCAGCATTGTTACTAACACATAGGAGATCTTTGACTCCTGTTTTAACTAATCCATCGATTAAATTTTCTGGTATGCCGCATAAACCAAATCCTATAAATTTATAAATTATTTTTTTCTCAAATGAAAATAATAAGCAAATATTAATGCAAAAGGAAACCGCATATACGAAATTTAAAAGAAAATTTTCATTTAAAAATAGATCATAAAACGCAAGTAAAAAAGCGAAACCAAATTAAATTTCAATATCAATAAAAATAATGGAAAATTAAGAACAAAAACGATGGTTCATAAGAAAAATTTTTAACAAAGGTAAAACCTCGATAATTTCAAAGTTATTTTAAAAAATTCCGAAATAAAAATTTTCGGCGTTTAACAAAAAGGAAATTAAGAAATCAAACTGTTCATAGAGCACTAAAACTAATGAAACCTCAACCGATATGTTAGCTCACACGAATAAGTACCGCCAACAAGAAGTTTTGCTCCATTCGGAATATCGCTTACTGCTTCAACAGCCGATTCATAAATTTTCACTTTATTTGTTGAAGATAAAACAAAGGTTGCTTTTTGTAACTAAAAATACATGAAAATTATCGAAAACGAAATAAACCATTTCTAAAAATTTTCATATAAAAAGAATGAAAAAGAATGAAACACAATTGTTCTCAGTAGCAAATAATTCTTTTTATTCAATTCTTTATATCAATTCTTTTTATCGATTTATATCAATTTTACCAAATTCCATGGACTTCGTCCCTTGTCGACGAGGAAAATCTTGCTTAAAAGTGAAGTCCAGGAGGCACTGGGTATAAAAAAAAATAGGGAAATGCGTACCACTTGAAAAATCAGAGATTATAGATTAAGAAAGAGTAAAGTTTAATCAAATTTATAATCAGAAATAAAAAAGGAATTTAAAATTCTTTTGGATAGTTAGTTTCGAATTAATATAAGGTAAGGTTATCGATGACATTCTTTTACAAAAGCTTAATAAATATTTCATTTTTTTAAGATAAATAGCAACCTTAAAAAATCGATTTTCTATTTAAAGACATTCTGTAGATATTTTGTACTTACAATTTCTTCTAGACTAGATAAAATTTCAAGAATCAAGAATCATCAAATCTACTTTAAGAAAAATAATTGTAGGAAAATAAATTTAAATTTAGAATTACAAGGAACAGATGAAATACTTATAATACTTATATAATATAATAACAATATAATATAATACTTTTAACATGGAAGCACAAAACTGGTCGAAGAAAATTCCCAATCGTTTATAATTCTGATGAGAACTTTTGAAGATTCCAGCCGAATAAAACATTTTTCCAATAGAAGAAAAATTATACCTGAAATTTAATAATCATAAACCATTTAACTGAACATAAAATAAAGAAAATTAGCTTTTTTCTGAATGGCTTTTTTCAAGCTTTAATGAAATATAAATCGCTTAACATGATCAATTCATTAATCTCGAACTATTCTAAAGACATATAGATCTATTTAAAAAAATTCATTTTTCAAAGAAATATATATGAAAAAACTTATATATAAAAAAAAGATCGCAACAAGGAGCATAAGAAATAAAAAAAAGGATGGGAAAGACTTATCTAAATGGGTGAAGGATGGCGATATTTTGTTTCGTCCTGGGTTAAACGGGCGATTCCCGATCCTTGAAGAGAACAAACTTGTAATCAAAAGTGAAATCCGGATGATGCTGGGGATTAAAACAAAATTCTCAGCCTCTGGTGAAGAGACCCAGCTTAACAGTGAGCCGCCCAAACTAAGAAATGGTGAGTGTTAGCAGATGAATGGCAAGAAGAAAAGAAGATTGAAAATATGAACAGATGCTTGCTCGGCTTAAGTCGAAAACGAGGGATAATGCAGCGCGATAAACGCGAAAGGCAACAAGGAAGGGTCAAAGCAGAGAGAGTCACGTAAATATACTACGACAACAACACTGCAACCAATGTCAAAGTGAATCAAAAATTTAAAATGAAATGAAATTAAAATATAAACTTGTAATAAAGCACAATGCTCGAATTTAGAAGAAAACTGTTTAAACTGCTATATAAATGTAACTATTGCGATTTTTGAGGAGAAAATGTAGCAGTTAAGCGGGAAGTAAAGGGATATTAGTTGGTGGCCTGGATCGGATGTTTAGCTGATAAATGAAGCCAATAACTGACAACAGAAACACATTTTAAGAAAATAGAACAGATGGGATAAAAAACAATCGAAAGGCCAAGCGAAACGAACTAATTTTGAGAAAAAGCTTGGAGGATGCGAAATAAGCCAAAAGCCGTCACAGAACGACGGTACGTTGCTTCGACTCGTTTGCAGGAAACCTTTCACTGAAAGTGACGATGCTTGGAATCCATTCGAACCCCACGGGAGGGTTAGCGTCTCAGAGAACAAACGAGCAAATTTAGCCACTAAAGAACAATAAAACATACCAAACTACAAACCTACAATGTCCGAGACAAAATACCGCCGCCAAGGGTAATAAGCCTACTCGCACTTGCTGCACACGATGCAAAGCTACAAAACCACAACTTTAAAGAATAACTAATTCGCAGCTTCGCGCCATAATACTGCTAACAATCAGTTTAGTTGCTATTTTTATATTATTTAGGCTATAGCACTTTGTTCTGGAGATTTCATCGAAGGTTCCGGAATGAACTTATTATTAGTTTTTTCCTGTAAGTCGGTGCTTTCGCTTGAGGCCTTGCTTTTCCCATCGCCTACCCTTCAGCTGCGTATTTCTGCACGTGGGAGAATTTAGTTTAAGAGTTTTTTTGCTAATTCCAGTTTCTTAACAAATTGCGCAATTTTTCGGCATTTTCCATTATTTTTATAATTTAGAAAATTTTACTGAGCAATATTTTTAACATTAAGTGAAATAAAAAATGCGCAGATAAGCGCGGAAAATCTGCAAAACGTGGAAGAACGTAAAAAAATTTGAAAAATCAACTATGGATGGACGTGATGGATCTGACGTAAAAATTTTTCGATTTCTTTAACATTTCTTAAACATAAGAAAATTAGTTATTGTTCACTAATTTTATTTAGCACAATCGAAAGAAAAAACTTTTTTGTTTGTTATTTTTAAAAATAGTAAATGAACTATTAATTGAATTAGATATGAATTTAAAATATAAATTTTCATCAGTTTTTATTTTGTTCTAAAAAGTGAATTTATGCTTTCAGATTAAATAAATTCGTCTTTCCCTTATTTTTCCATTGTTTTTTTTCAGGATTCAAGCGAGGATAAGGAAGGCGATTTTTTAACGAATATAAGCAATTTAGAGAACGTTGAAAGGTTGAACTTCGACTTTGAAGCTTATCCTTTAATTGATTCTGATAAGGATGGCATTATCAACCTATTAACGCAGGTTTTTAAGGGCTTTTTCATTAAATTTGCCACTTCTTTTCAAGTCCACTGAAGAAAAAAATTTGAATAAATTGGAAATCTTGGATTTCATGAAAAAAGTTTTGATGAACTGGAAATTCTGAGTTTCATTTTATTTATTTTTTAAAAGAACTAAAATGGTCATTCCAGATTTTTTTGAGAGCTCCAGTTGATTTAAATTCATTAGCTGATAAACTTATCCAACAGGCGCCGTTTGGATGTGTATATCGAGTAAGATTTATTGGTGTTTTTCGAATTCGAATAGCTTCCTCTTTTCCAAGTTAAAACTAACTAATTTCAGAATTTTTAATGCTCCAAAGGTGACCATTCATTTATTAATCATTTTATAATCATTTTTTATTAAAATTGCTTGTACCGATTATTTAGTAATATTAGGTTTCAAGAATGAATTTTATAAAATATAAATTGATAGAAATAAAAATGCTTCATTGAATATTCTACTTTTGTAGACAGCTGAAGAATTTGCTGATGAAGATGGGGAAGATTTAATTTATGGTATTTTATCTATGGCGAGTTTAAATATAAAATATGTGAGAATATATTGATTCTTCAAGCTTCAAAATCATTTTATCATTTTCATCATTTCGATAATAATAATTTCTTAAAAAAGCAACATTAAAAAAAACCTTGATTATCTCGTTTTAAATAACGATAACAAAATTTTACGATGAACTAAATTTTAATTTTGTTTCGTCGAAAATTATTGGAAAATTTTCAGAATATTAATGAGTAATATTAATGAGCCCGTAGTATTATGGAAAAGTTTTTCAAATATTTCAGAAATATGCGATCGATATATGGGATTTGTTAAAAAGTCGAGTTCATAAATATATTGAAGAAAATGTTATTAACCGACTGACAGAATTATTTAATATGAACGATTCTGTTGGATTATTAATAAATGAGCGATTTCTTCATTTTCCACCATCTATTGCTGCACCTGCTTTTAATTCTTTGAAGTTGATTATTTCTTTCTTTGTTTGTAGTTATTTATTTGTAATTAATTTAAAATTTTATATTATAAAAATCGTTAATTTTTGCAGAAATGATATGAAAGCATTTGAAGGTTTCTGTAATTTCACAACTGTTTTATTGATAGTAAAAATTCGAATCGCAGAAGCAATGGTATCATCTCAATCTTATATTAAAAAGAAAGGTAAAAAGATGGGAAAAGCAGCGAAGAAGAGGGCAGCTGCAGCTTTAATTTCTAATTCCGATGTGATTTATGATAATGCTGAGGAGAAATTACTTTTCCAGGTTCATTTCTAATCCAAGAATTTAATACTATTGGTTTATATCGATGATCTCAATTTATAATGAGTTTTTGAATTATATGCTTAATTTATATAAATGAATCAAGAATCATTATAAGAATCGTAATTCCCCTTTTTCATAATTTTTTCAGGGTATTATGAATTTTGATTATTTCCAATACCCAGTTCATTCAGAGGTTGAGAAGGAATCAAAATTTGGCTCTATCGTTGTCGGTGGTGTGACCTATCGACCTTATCGAAGAATTTGCTTTTTAAATAATGAACAGTTTAAAAATTTTGTTGATATTGTTAGTAATGCAAAAGGATTATAAAACTTTAGTTATTAATTCTTGTGTGCTTTGGAAATAAGATCGCTTTTTTAAAATATATGTGGAACTAAGTCGTATGTGGTTTTACTTTTCAGTTTAATATTCTTTTAATGTTCTTTATAGAAAGAAACAAAATTTGGTATTTAAAATTTTGTATATTTCCCAAATTTTTTTGTTTCTTTTTGTTTTCCATAAATCCATTCATTTGTACTTTTAAACTACTTGGGACTGATCGATTAACCAAATTTAATGGAACTACAATTTTGCTTGCACTCCAGAACTTTGTCAAAAATATATGGAAATATTAACCATTTTGTCGCTATTTTTTTGCAAACAATTTTCATAATAGACATCAATATAAATCAAAAAGCTTATAAAATATACATTATTGAATTTTGTAGGAATATAAAAGAACGTAATTTATCGCCTTTTAGAAATTCGATCACCATAGTTACGAATATTTACCTAATATTTATTTGTTTAATATTTAATATTTAGTTATTTAATATTATGCTATTTAAGGTGTCTATTTTATGGGCAAGCAGAACAGTCCTTCAAATTCATAGTCTTGGAAATTCATATGCATCTTGAAGGGCAAGGTCATGGAAATTTGCCATTCTCCGAGCTGAAGTGGTAAAGTTGCGGGGACAGATCTAAGATGTCCTTCCTAATGAATTGTAGCAAAAGAATGCAATAGAGTTTGAGGGATTAAGTATTGGTAGTTTGAGGTAATGGTCAAGTTTTTTCGAAGCCATAAAGCAAGTTTGTTATACAAATTCTCCATTTCGGACTGTAATGCTGTTATCTGAGGAAATAGGCATTCTTGATTATAAAATAAAATGATTTTGAAATCAAAATTGCTTCTGGCCGGCAACGATTTTAATTAATACCTACGGTGTTCATTTTTTGTTTTCAATTTTAACAAACGATGATAAATGATAATTTTCATAGAATCGACATCGAATGAACTTTTGTCCGCCTTATTTTAAATATTGCAATAACTTTTATAGAAGACGCTTTGCTGGAAAAAGTTCGATAAAGCTTTCAACACGAAAACGATTTCTAAAGCCTTTTCGCAGGACGTTGCTATGGTAGGGATTCATGGATGTATACGCATCAAAAATTAGTTTCGAGACGGCAATCGCCTTCGCCATTAGGGCTCTCTGGCACGAATTTATCGCAGAAAGCTCTCGTATGTGTTGTATTTTTCTCGATAAAATAAGAAATAAAATTACAAGTAACTAAAGAACACAGGTACTTTTCAGTTTTGTCTAGTTTTGATAGAATATCCGCCGCATTAGGGTTTTATTATCTTTTTCTAGTGCTTTATTATAGAATCAGTGCCTTGTCTGAAATTGATTAAAATTCTTTATTTAAGCATTGCGGAGGCTATATATATGGAAATGAAAATTATTAAAGTAATTTTAAAATTATTAAAATTTTCATGGAGAAAAGAATTTTGCAAAAATAAATAGTAATTTTTAAATAAATTTTTAACATTATAATACAATTCATAACAGTAAGCCAATTTAAACAATGGACGACTATTAAATCATTGTTTTCGCTAATTTACGATATTTTAAAATGAGTCGTGAAGATTATTCTTAGAGAGGCTTATACTAAGCTATAAGGCCTAAAGTTGGCAGATATACCATTCCTTTTTTCATCACCACGGCCATAGCAGAAACCGCTTTGGTTGTTCGAAGAAATTTTTTTCTCGGTTTTGAAAATCATTTTATCCGCAGTATTTCTGTCTTTTTCTTCTCCTATTATTTATGATTCTATTTTTATAATTGCGAACTAATAATACAAAGCTCTTTCACCAGAGAGTCACCTGAGGATAAAAATATAGGTATTCATAATATTAGCATGATTTCAATGATATATAAAATGACTTCAGTCGAAGCAATACTCGATTCTCCTTCCAGTTCTGATCATTTTTCGTTAATTCATTAAAATTACATGGACTCTTTAGAATTACCTCAGTTCGTTGAAATCTAGGAAGGAAGTGATATGTCAGTCCAATGAAATTATCAAATCAACAGATAAATTATCGTACGTATTCTTTTTCCTTATTGTATTGATTTTAATATTTATATAATAATAATAAAATAAAATTAACGGCAATTTTTTATAAATTTTTAATACAAAAAAATTATTTGTTAGAAATAATACGAGCTCAGAAGAAATTAATGATGATCAAAGTGATAAGAGAGATAAGAAGCAGATATCGGTGTCAACTCTTGTCTCGGGACTATTTGCGAAAAAAAGCGCTCCATGTAAGATTCTTATTTTCACAATACTCACACTGCTGTACGAGTGATAAAATCATTCTACGCAAACCATACAATGAAAAAAATAAAAATATTAATTTCTTGCCAGTCGATAGGAAATAATTAATCGTATAAAGGTAGTGAATACGCATTATTGTTTTGCAGTGGAAACACATTTAATGGATTTCCAATTTCACGATGCCGATGAGCTTTCTGCGTTATCATCCGTCTTATCTGATCCGAATTTTTCTGACGTGTAACTTCTTTATTTCGTAAAATTCATTTTTTTTGTCCACTAGCAAGATTTCAACACTCATTTCATCTTCTTCTCTTGTTTCGCATTATCTGGATCTATAATTTTAATAATATTCTTTAGCGATGATCGAGAATTGGAACACATTTCGAAGTTGCAAGGTTAGTATGATTCGTATAATATTTGGAAAGAGCGAAACTCTATGATGAAAGGGTAAAACAGCATCAGTGTATTCCGAAAAACGTGGTGTACGTGGTATCTTCATGGTATCAATATATGAATTGGATCCGAAAATTGTAATAAACGCATGAGTTCTGGAGCTGAGCGAATTGCTCTAACTGGATTAAGAAAATCGGATAAATATCAGTCGGCTACGCATGTTCATCGTGCACACCACAAGAAATGTTTGCTTGGAACATCAAAACATTCATGGATGTAGGGCAGTAATCGACTACATTTTATCCAAATATTCATCGTTTAAATATCCATCTTCCTAATCCTGGGTCCAGAGCTGTACCTATACCTTGTTTACACCAAAACTGCTGGCTAGACCACAGTAGTCTTGCATGCATTGATGGCAAAAAATGCATACTTCTCAGTGGGGAAGGCTTTCTATTGGTATATTCTATTGGCACCATATTTGTTGGCCACGAAAGGCAAAGGGGCAGTACATATCCCATGCATATTTCAGTATAATCTCCCAGGATTATTATTGCGTTTTTTTTTCTGGGAAAGATACTAATAAACATCAGATTAAACAGCATCTTTCCTTATATAGATCAATTGTGCATAATGGAGGAGCATAAGCACCAGTGGCCGAGGCCGAGAGTACATCAGATCATTAATAAAATTCCATACGATTTGAGTTGATCATATTTTTTGGTCATGACAGTGGCTACTGCACTGCCCAATGGATCGCCTTTTCCTTCTTGCTGATGAACATGCCATCAATATGCTGAAGATATCTTGCTACATGGAACTCTCCAAATTTTCGAGCCATATATTTTGATCAACTATCGCTGGAAGAGTTCTATACTGGATAGCTGTGCATATCGCAGGGCCGAAACTGACAGTCTTCACCGTATTATGTTTAGAACCAAAGATGAAAATGACACAACATCACCCAAAATTTTTTGACTATATCAGGTTAAAATAAAAGGAAATAAAAATAAAAGGAAAGTGCAGTTAGCACTTTTGATTTTAAAGCAACCATAGGATATCAATGGTGTTTCAAATGCTGGCTGCATTTGAATTAGAACCAGAAGTCAACTAAGGAACCTAAATCTTAAGACACTCTATCTAGATGAAGGTAAACGGCAAAAATTCATTAAGAAAGTTTCAGATCATTTATTGAAAGATCAAAACCTTGGGAAAAATGATTTGGCCAGTACAGTTAAAGCCAATGCACCTGACAGACAATATTCAGTAAAGCTGCATCCTTCTTCAGAAATCTGACCTAGCTAAATGTTTTAAATTTCCTGTTCTACTATGAAATGATCTATATCAGCAAATTGTTATGCATTTTTTATGTCTGATGAACGACTCTTAAATAAGTAGATTTTACAGCAGGTTATCAATTCGAAGTTCCGATTTTTTTTAACATATAACATAATAGACTACCACGGTCTATGAACTAGTGGCTTCAAGGTTCCAGGTTATATCAGAACGAGAAGAACACACTAAGAAACACATTAAGAATAGCTAAGATACTGCGCATTTATATCAAAGCCATTTCTATCAATAAAACTTTCAGATAAATAATTCACAGTTCGATGTAACCAAAGCCGTTTCCAAGAGATCACCTTTTAGTGTGAGTATGGTAATCGAAAGTGATTCCTCAAGCGGCGGGGATGTTAGCAGTAATATTGGTTCTGAACTAATTGTAACCAGCCAAGGCGAATCGGATGTATCAGAAAGTACAGTTACGTCTAACCATTCAATGAATACACAAAGTACTATTCCATCTGAGCGACATTCATCAAATTTTGGTGGTAAAAGATCTTCTTCAAGGTCTAAAAGTTTTATTCAAAAGCATGCTATTCGATCAAATGGATCCAGTCAACTTTTTTTCAAGACAGACATAGTTAATAGCCCGAAAAAATTCTCAAGTGATGCGACATCATATTCCACAAGTATTTGCACACTGCTACGGAAAACTCCTTCTCCTTCTGATTTTAAAATATTGCAAAATTTTTCACCTTCTTCTTGTCATCAAAAGGTAAAAAATAAAAAAATCGATGGGGAATACCGAGAATCAAACGTTGAGAATATGCGAAAAAAGCGTAAATCTTCGCAAAAATCGAGCGAATCCGGTTCATCGTCTGGCAAAATTTATCAAATCCGAAACGATAACGCACGACAAATCTTGCAGGATATGAAATCGGAACAGAAGAATTTTGCAAAAAGTAAATCGGATGATAGATATAAAATATTATCGAATCATTTCTCGAGAACTCCTTCATCTTTATCAGATGATTCTGCTGAATATCGCAATGAAAGTATTTTGGACAAGACGAGAGATGAATTTCCGCGAAGGGACGGATCACTGGAAAAACTAAAATATTCCGAAGAACGAACAATCCATAGCGACGTTGCCTTTAGCGAAAGTCAGTTAGCATCAAGTGCTAATAGCAGTAATTGTATCCTGCAAACGGTCTCGTCGAATTCTTCTTCATACAGTTTCAAAGACGATTTCGAGGATATTTTGACAAGATTTATAAAAAATATTATTGAGAAGGAAAAGAAAACTTACGGTTTAAATAAAAATTTAATAAGCTCTTTTGCGCAGACCGATGATTTTGATGAACAAAAGCTTTCCAAAGCCCTTACTGAAGAGATTAAAGGTTTTGTTTGTTGTTATATTATTATTGTAAATTGGCAATAATATAAAATAAATATGGAAATCGACAGGAATCTATGAATAAATATGAATTGAACTCAAGAAATAAAAAATTTCTTCTTTTAGAGCTCCCGTTTAGAATGAATGAAACCTTTTGAGATCAAACCTTTAGGCGAGGCAGATTGTTTCTAATTTCCACTAGGGTCTCACTTTTCAGTTTGCCTCATGTTAGGAACATTCGAAACGGAAAAATGGAAGCCATGAACAGCCCAACTTACTAACTTACTAAAAAATAAATTGTTTCTAACTAAAATCAGAAGAAAGCATTTATAAAGCAAAAAAAATTATAAATTATTTATAGAGAGCCTCAATAACCTGGAAGAGTCAAAAAATCTTCCGCAGATCATCAGAGTGCACTTGAATCTTATAAAGAAACTGGTTGAACGAGAACGACAAACATTATATGAATGGGACTCGCTGTTGAAAACTTTTGAAGGGAAATGTGACATCGTTTCCTTCGCAAGCTTACAACAAATTATACGAAATCGAGGAGCCTAAATCCGTTATTTTATAGACATTTGGCATGTTTTTACGCTCCCTCCTCCCCTTCTCTCCCCGTCCAATTATTCTTTTGTTTTTCTTTGAAAGGATTGCTGTTTTGACTGGTCTTCGCAATGATCTTTGGCGTGAACGGCTTTAGGATTTTTTCATCAAAGTGTCATTTGAGGATAAAAGTGCCGATGCGTGTGCGTCCTGAATAGCCATTTTTATTTCGCTTTTAATAACATCCACTTTAATATGCACTCGTGTTTTTTAAAAGAAAAAAATCCGTAGACCATAGACCACTGCAAGAATTTCGCAAAAAATCCATAATTTATTATTTTAACTCGAAAAAAGTTTTTGTAAATAAAATTTTTACAAGGTCGTCAAAAAAATTTGCTGCAATATTAATAAAATTTGACTTATTTATGGATTAGTTATTCTTTATTATAATTTTTGTTATCGATAAATGATAAATTTTATCAGTGATGATATTTTTATTTAATTTTTCACTGTTTCTACTATTAAAATTTAAATAAATTTTTTAATTATTCGCAAATCTAAATGACTTTCATATCACCAGTAATCACCAGTAAATTGTTCGCACACGTTTTTTGTGGTGTTCTCTTGAAAAGCACCACACTGTTTAGATAAACCTAACAGAGAGGTTAAGTGATACTATAAGGGATGGTGAAAAGTCTCCAAATCTTTTCCGGACCAAATTGCCGTTAATCACCCATGTGCGAATAGCAATTTAGATAAAGTGGTCAAATAGGATTATTATGAGGAAAGATACTGTAATTATCGTAATCTCCAGATTTATGTTCAGATTCACTAAGTTGTAGTCACAGGTTCAATTCAAAGAATACCGTAACGTGCGCGCAACTGACCTTGGAGCAATTGACAGAGCTGAAAATACGCCTAGAAAGGGCGAAAAAAAATGCTTGGCTTCAAGTAGAAACGGAGGACTATGCAATTTTCATTAATTTAACAAAATTAAAATATTTGCTACAAATCCCCCTCCCCCCTCCTCGCCACTAATTATTTATCCAAATATTTTTCTTTAAATTTAGTGAATTCATCAAATAGGGACCGAAAAATTTACGCTCCGACTAAGATACGGCCACGGCCGTATAGTCAATAACTTTTAGTGGCATAACGGCAAAATTAGCTGAGTTGCTTTGGTTAATATTTTTCTGGAATGTTGTACTGGTCGTTTATTTGTGAGTTGGTTTAAGGTTTCGGGAAGAAGTTTAATGGATATTGTTTGAAGTGTCGCATGGAAGTCAAACAATGGATATCACTGGTTATCATTTATTTTCCATCAATTTTGATGTCTTTGGTACTTTTCGGTTATGTGGACAGCACTGAAAAACCATGTTTTTGAGTGTTATTTTCTTCCTTATTTCCTGTCGTTTCCTTTTCCTCCTTAGCTTTTTTCCTTCGCTTTTGTCATCTCACCTCACATATTTTGGCTGATACATCTATCTGATTTCATTTGAGCTGGTGATGTAGATAATTTTAAAAGAAATCCTAATGAGCTGATGGAATCGCTCTTTATATTCTTTGTTGTCTCTGTCGGGTTATCCTTTATCAGTTAGTCTATGGACTTCTTTAATTTAAGTTTAAGTGTGTGTGTGACAGCCTATGACGACACCTTTTATTCAGATGAAAATCGGCATAAATTACGATTCACTGCTAATACGCATGATGGCAATGAATATATTGAAATGCAAAAAGTACGCTTTTCCAAATTTTCAGTTCAGATTTAGAATCAATAACTACAAATAATTAAGTGTGATGAGATTCTTTCGAGAGAGTATCTGTTGGCGATTTTGGGTTTTTTTGCAAAGACTTATATTCAGCGGTATTTTTTGAAAATTAATTTTCAGATAAATATTTTTGTAAAGTTTCAAATGGCATTTGATAAATAAAACTTAATAAATAAAACTCTAAACTTAGATTTCATGTACAAAATCGATTTAAGTCATAAAATTTCTTGGTTTATTTTAATTTCAGGGAAATAACTCATCAAAAATAGCGAACACTCATTGGCATTCATCGAATGGTTTATTTATGTCAGATGGTAAACGAAAGATTGATTATGTTTTGGCTTATGAAGTTAATTATGATAGTGATTATGACGAAAATGATAATAAAGATGATCCTAGCACATTTACCTTTACATCTGGTCGAGTTCGTTGATTTTTTGTTTCTTATTTCAATTCAAATATGAAATTCAAGTTTGCACAATTTTTTATTACTTTTTTTTGCTTTCATAAAGCTTACTCTTTGTTAATTGTTTTTATAACCTTTATTATTTTTAATGCTTTAAATGAAGACGTTAAAAATTTAATTTTATGTAATAGGGAAAATTTCAAATTTGTTTCTTTTAGATTAATGGTGAATTGAGAAGAAACAAAGAAAAGCAAGCAAATAAGCGTGAAAATTTTGAGCGTAATCTAGAAAAGTTGGGTCTTGAATTGGAATATGTTGAAGGAAAGGTAAAAATTTCATTAAAAAAAGAGAAAATCGTGTGATTTTCTTATTTCTACTTGTTTTTATTCTAATTTTTATATTTGCAGTATTGTAAGAAAACTTATTTCGTATTAATTCATGCTCCCTTCGCACTTTTAATGAAACAAGCCGAAAATCTCGCTGTTAAAATGCCTATTTTACGAAGTGACGTTAAGGTATATCAAATATTTTAAGTTTCATATTTGTGGTACTTCTATCTTATCTGCGCATATTCTATATTGTATTTCTATATTTTATGCATTTTTTATATATTCAATATAATTCCATATTCATTTCACTAAATTTCTCAGTTGGTATTATTTTTCAATTTCTCAGTTGTTTTTACTCTCAGTTGTTATTTTTCAAATTATTTTCGAAAAATCGAGGCCTTCCCCACATTTTTTTATGCCGTGCCGAACATTCTAATTAAGAGAGAATATAGTGGTTAAAACGATTTGAGGTCGAAGTAGGCGAGGAAATAAACAAAAATAAACTGGAAAAACATGGAGATCATAAAAGTAGAGAGAAAAAGAGGGAAAAAAGGTAAAAGGAAAAAAAAGTGGGAAATGGCTTATGTAAGGTAAGACTGGGTTATTAATTTTTACTGTAATCTGTATTTTTTTCCAAGCAGTCTTCTTAATTTAGTTGTATTTCTAATTCTTTGAGAATTTTTTTCATATTTTTCAGGAACGAACGGTTTTTGAGGGAATGTTAGATCGATTTCTTGAACGATTTAAATTTTTCAAATTTGATGAAATAACTAATGAGAGACTTAAAGAACCGAATTATTTTACTGCACCATTTATTGCTGCACATTTAAATTGGTTTATATCTGTTTTATTTTTGTTTATTTGCAATCTAAGTCAGTTTTTGCAACAAAATCGTCTTTAAAATCTTTTTTTTAGCTATGTTGGACATGAAAATCCAGTAACATTTTTTGATGATTCCGAAAGAAGTCGAATGGTTTACGATCTATTAATTCGTACTAGATATGATTCAGATGAAAAATATCGTGTTGGTATTGAACGTCTTATTAATAATGGTAGTTACACAGCTGCTTTTCCTTTGCATGAGGTTATGTTTTTTTTCTATTTATTAAAGCTTTATTTTTTTGCGGGGGAGAAATTTTTTTAATAATATATATATTTCTTATATATTTATTATTAAAAAATACTTATATTTCTAATATATTTCTTTGTAGGAATGTGAAAGTAAAATATACGATGCGCAAAATTGCAATAATCGTGAGATGCTTTATTGGAATTGGGCTCTTATTACAAATTTCTATAAATACCAACCTTTGTCGCTTATACGGTTTATTTTATTTTCGAGCTTTAGTCACCAGACTTATCATTTATTTTTGATTTTATTTGTTTGTTAAAAGAAAATAAAAAAACGCATTACAAAAAAGTGAATGAAAGTGAATAAATTAATAAATACAAATTTCGTCGCTATTTCGATTATGTATACATATTTTTTAATACATATTTTTTATTTTTCTATTTTTAACAGTATGTTGCCCAAAGAAATAGCCTATACTTTTAAATATTTTAAATACTTTTCAACTGATACAGGTCATTGATTTATATCATTAATTATATGATCATTTGTTAAATCAAATAATGAAAGGAAATTATATGATTTTTTCTGTTTTCACTGTTTTAAGAAAATATTTTGGATCGAAAATTGGTATTTATTTCGCTTGGCTTGGTTTTTATACGAAAGTTTTATTTCCTGCTTCTATACTTGGCATTTTATCTTTGTTATATGGTTTGTCAACATTTTCGCGTGATATTCCAAGGTAATTCCGTTTTTCATTCTTTTTAACCCAATATGGTCTCTTATTTATTTTCTTTAATTGTCAAATAGTAAATAGTAGTTATAGTTATTAAATAAAAATCATGTTTTTTAAAATAGAAATTTATTGAGTGATCGTATATTTAAGTAATGATATTTGTGGTACGGACGGCATTGGTGCGTCTATTATTATATGCCCAGCTTGTGAAAGTTTTTGTGATTTTGCACGCCTTAATTCCAGTTGTATCTATTCAAAGGTTTCGTCTTTATATATTGATATTTATTTGTCTTATTTTTTATGATCTAATGGAGACAGAAAAGGAAAAAATTCGAAAAATCAAAAAAACTCGATAACACTTCTGTTGAGAAAAATTTTTTTGAATTTGAAATTTTTTTGCGAAAAATTCTGTTGAGAAAACTTAGGATATAATTCTCCATTTATTTTTCCTCATTTTTTTCCATATTATTTATTATATTTTCTGATATTTATATGCTGATATTTTAGCTGTCGTATTTATTCGATAATCGTATTACGGTTGTGTTTGCTGCTTTAATGACCATAAGTGCAACATTATTTCTGGAAGGCTGGAAACGTTATCATGCAGAATTTGCATGGAAGTGGGGCTTATTGGATTTTGAAATTGATGAGGTGTATTAAATTGCATCTTACTCATATTTCTAAATTCTGTTTGAAAAAATTTTTATACATAAACGCCAATTATTTAACTTAATTGCATGTAGGAAACTATTCGTCCTGAATATCAATTGAGAGTGAAATCGCTTGAAACTAAACGTGTGAATCCGATTACTCAACAGATGGAACCTTATTTTCCTTTTAAAAAACGTTTGTTTCGTTTTGTTGGTTCGGGTGTTTCGGTGATATTCTTTGTAAGTTAATCTTTCCTTGTTTTTATATGAAATATTTTTAGAAATATTTTTATATTTTTACTCTTTTGTTAAGATTTGCAGTTCTTATAAACTTTCTTTTCTGAATTTTCTATCTTAAATGGTATTAAATACCAAATATTCAAGATGGAGAATATTGTTTTGAATGTTTCGATGATGTGGCAATAATTAGAAAAAATGCTTTTCTGAATTTTTCAGAATTAAGATTATGATAAAAGTTCTCATTCCTAAATGGAAATATGCTCATTCAATCAAATTTTATTGATATTATTTTCAGTTGCTATTAGTTATTGCATTTGTTATCGGTATTGTTATTTATCGAATTGTGCTTTTAAATGTTCTTTATCGCATGGATGGTGTTAAACCCTATGCGGCGTTATTAACTTTTTCAACTGCTTCTTTTCTGAATCTTGTAGTCATACTTATGCTTAGCTATGTAAGTGCTTTTCATAGTTTTATTTTTCAGTTTTATTATTTTCCCTTTATCATAGGATACCTCTCTATTTCTTGGAGAATATGTAGAAAAAAAGAAAAAATCGCGTAAATTTTCTTTTGATAAAAGTCTCTGTTTAGTTTTATACTTATTTGGCCATAAAATTAACAGAATGGGAATGTCCACGTACACAAACTGATTTTGACAATAGTTATACATTTAAAGTTTATTTATTTCAATTTATTAATTATTATTCTTCGATTTTCTATATTGCTTTCATCAAAGGAAAGTTAGTTACATTTTTTGAATCTTTTAGACTTTCGAAATATTGCTTTATCGAAACATTAATATTTATTTTTTGTTTCTCTGCCGTAGTTTTAACTGTTTAATTAATTTTGATTTCATCATTATTTTTAAAAAGTTAAAATTTCATTTTTTTTATTTTTTCTGGAAACAATATAATGAATATATTCCTGAAAAATTACATTTTATGACAAAGTTAAGAAATGTGCTCTTTTCAGTTCTTAAATATTTTTATAGTCTGTCAAGTGTTCCGGGTCGTCATTTCTTTGGTTTTCAACCTGAAGAATGTGATCCAGCTGGATGTATGGTAGAACTCGTTATACAGCTGGCAATTATTATGTGCGGAAAACAATTTTGGAATGCATTTATTGAAATCGCTTGGCCGTAAGTTTTTTTAAGGCAAATTTCATTATATATTGTTTTATTTGTCCTTTTAGAGAATTCTGGAATTAAAATTTGATATATTTGTTAAAAATGGACTTTATGAAAAAAAATTATTAGAATGATGATGAATATAATTCGATCTTGGAATATTTTTGCATCAAAAACAAAACAAATGAAGAAGGAAACAATTCGAAGGCAATGGCAAGATGAAATGAAATGTTCTTCAATGACATCACGATGGGAAAAAGATTATGTGTTAAATCCAGTATCCAGGCAATTTCTGTTCGATGAATATCTCGAAATGGGTATATTCGGTTTTCAAAATCTGAGAATTTTAATTATGTTGTTTATTTAAAAAATTTTGATTTTAGTAATTCAATTTGGATTTGTTACGCTTTTCGTTTCTGCCTTTCCGTTGGCTCCATTATTTGCTCTACTGAACAATATATTAGAAATACGTATCGATGCTTATAAATACACTATGACTACAAGGCGTCCTGTGCCTGAACGAGCAAAAGATATTGGCGTATGGTTCTCGATTCTTGATGGAATCAGTAGAGCTGCTGTTTTAATTAATGTTTGCCAATTTTTTTAAATTTTTTTTTATGATATTTCTTCTTCTTCTAACAGCTCTCACCGTTGCTGGTTAGGCTGGTTCCAACGCCAAGGGTAAGATCCTTCCAAACAGCACGGTCTGATGCCATCATCGACAGTAACAGAAACCATTCATTTTTCCATCGTCTAAATCCATATATTGCTGGTCCACCTATACGCTCAAAATCTTTCCTGACCATATCAATCTAGACCTTTATTAGCCTATCTCGCTTTTGACGCCATCCTTCATACGGTTTAGCAAGTAACGAAAAGTACATTTCTTGTGGTGGACGACGGAGAAAGTACTCCAACCATCGAAGGGTATACTCTATAATAATATTATTAATGCAAGTGAAGGAAGATGGATGCGATTATGTGACATTTTATTCGCTCAACGGATCCGTAAAATTAGACAAGAGTGGTCAAAAGTAGATAGCTTCTTAATATCCTCCACTCTCATTGGCCATTCTCAGAACCATATAGCAAAATCGAACGAATCACGGCTATGTAGATGCGGACTTTCGTTTTAACTATAATTTCACGACGGCTGCATAAAGATTTCGTCATCCGGAAAACGCATTTCTATTTGCCCATGATCCGGGCTATAATATCGTCTTTTGTCTGGCTATTTGGTATTAGAGTGAATCCAAGGTATTTAAAATCGGGTATTTATGATATTTCTTAGGCTATTTCATTTGAGAATTTCCGAATATTAATTATTTTTTTCAAAATCAAATTTCAGGCTTTTATAATATCGTTTACAAGTGATTTTATACCAAAACTGGTTTATCAAATTGTTTATAATCATGACGAACTTTATGGATATGTGAATAATTCACTATCTTATTTTGATATCTCATCAGCGGATTACAAATTAAATAATATTGTCACTGGAAATATTACCACTTGCAGGTTTGCTCTTTATTCTGCTGGATGTTTATGGAGCAATCTTTTTTTTTTAACGTATCGTTTAGATTTCGCGACTATCGGCAACCACCTTGTACTGTATCAAAATCTGAGGATTGTAATTATAATTACGATTTGACAATTCAGTGGTGGGTAGTACTTGCATTTCGTTTGGCCTTTATCATAATATTTGAGGTATTCTATTTTTGGAATTGATTTTTCTAATTACCAGATTCATAAAAAAATAATATGTAAAAAACAATATAATATAAAATTCAAAATAATTTTAAATGGATTAAAAAAAAAGTGAAAAAGATCATTATTAAACACAGTATTCTATAACTGATTTGAATCTCGCTTATCTGTTAGATTTATATTTAGATCCGTCCTGTCTTTGTCTTGTTGACCTGCTTAACTCAATATTTTAATATATATATATGTTGGTAAATAGATGAATATTTAAGCATGTTGTATCAGCCATTAAATCTTTCGTTGCTTTCATTATTCCTGATATACCGTCCAAGATTTTCATCCAATTGCAACGTCAAAAATTTTTGTCTCGCCAAGCAAGACTTTTGGATTTAAGTGGAAATAATGAGATCCAGAGCAAATTTTCTGGTAATATAATTTCAAGGTAATACAATTTAATTTTGTTGTTTGCATAAAATTTCCTTTTCAAAGTGAATTATTGTTTTTATTATTATTATAATATTAATATTACTATAAGTAAATTATATTATTATATTGTTATAGTTTTCTGTGAATTGATTTTGATATATTTTTTTTCGATTTTAGTGACATTGGGACAAAAATAAAGGAAAGAAATATTGCTTTTCAACCCGATCTTTTTGGTACTAACGATCAGACTATATCTCAACCGTTTAAGACAGTAATGAGGCATGAATCTCTGCGAAATATCACTGCATCATTAAGATCTACAAGTGCCGATAGTTTCTGTTCTTGTTATGATGATAGGACAGAAAAAGTAAGAATTATTTATTTTCCGTTTAAAATTTTAATTCTTTTATTGATTCGAGCCATAAATTTTATGAACTGAAATTTTAAATTATTCCTGGTATGCTCTCTAAGATTTTCATCCAATTTTGACTCTTTTCTTCGAAAATTTCTTAAAAATGAGAAAAAGATGGGTTTTTTTGTCCATTTTGTAGTTCACGGTAATTTTTTAAATTTTGTTTTGCTGGTCATTTAATCGATGACAGATGGCGGCAGGAAGGTCGTATGGTTTATAGTATTGGCTGAGAGCAGGCAGTATGGATTCGACTCTTATCCTTTGACAGGAGAAAACCTGTTATTGGAATTGAAAACCAGGTGGTTCTGGTGGTTCTTCCTCCTATTCCCAAGTAATTCTTTAGTATTTCACTTCCCTATTTCCAGGTGGCGTTTTACTGAAAAAAACCTCAATTTAACAATGGGACGCCAGTCTAACCAAAAACGATGCGTAGTGTTTGAAAAAACAAACAATTTTGATGTTGCATTAAGCTTTTTTATCAATTGCTCAAAGTTTCTTTAAAATTTTTAGCTGTCGTTTTATTTTATTTGATAGTTTCAGATATGAATGTGAAGCGGAACATTTATATATTTATTTTTTCTCAGCCAGTCCTTATGTATTATGAATGCCCATTCTCTATCTGAAGATTCACAAGTTGCCTTAATTTTGAGTATACAAGTGCTGTAATTACTTTAAAATCAATAATGAGACAAACTATTTTTTTTATCAAATGCGATTTCTATTTCATAAATTATTGGTTTATCATTCACAATGATGTTTTCGGTTGATTGAAAATGAAATGTAACAAGTTTTTATTTTAAATGTTCTAAAAATATAGCGAAGATCAAGAAGTTTCATTTTGGGAATTTTCGAGTTTTTATTTCAGGAATTAGAAGATAACGAGAAATTAACCTGAACTAGGGAAAAATTTCCATTTTAAACTGAAAGAGGGATTAAATAAAAATGCTATTGGAATTCACATTCTAATAGCATTTTTAAAATTTTTAAAGTTGTTTTTTCAATAATAAATTTACCTTAACTCTATAATTTTCAAATTAAAGACTATAATTTTTATAAATTAATTATAACTAATTGTGACTGTAATTAGTGCTAGGTCAGTTGTGACGATGATGGCGACGATAACTTTTAACACTGATAGAAAAATAAATTCTATATTTATAGAGAAATCCAGGTTGAATTGGATAATCAAATGAAAAGTTTCATTTGAAATATTTTTGAAATATAATATCTTCGAACATATATCATTCATAATAAATTGTAATGATTGTGTTTTCTCTTAACAAAATTATTTTAAACTAAAAGAAATGAATTCTTGCTTTTCGTCATGTGTTCATCGAACAAAATTATGATCCAGTATCTACTCACTTTTGATAAATTCTTTCTCAGTGCATGGCGAAGCCGTTGCACCTTCTTTCTTTTTCTTCTAACTGCATTAACTGTTCCTGGTTCGACTAGTTTCACTGTTCATTGGGATGAATAAACCTCCTTTTTAAAGAATTAATTAGGAATAAAAGTACAACTCAACAGCCAATTTTATTTCCAATGACATTGTGATTCCAGTGAAAAGGCAAGGAGCGAACCCATGATTAGTTCCGGATAAAGCAGATCAATTGAAAATATTCGTTTTGACGGCAGGATCTTAAGGGATTTAATCTTTTTGCTTTTATACTTGTTCAAAAATTTTGGAAATCTTCAATGTCTATTAAGATTTATCAAAGAAGGCTTTCACCACATTCACATTGTCTTAACTCACATCGTCTTAATTTGCAGTATTCATACATATGTTGCCAGTGTCGCTTGTTATGTTAATTTTGTTTCTCTTACTGTTCGATGAAAGAAGTGCTACACAAGGCCCTTCGAATGATCCAATTTCTGGTACTGGTGAAATTGTTCTTTTAAACTGCTGTCAGCTGACATTGTTCTATATGATAATGGTAAATAATGAATAGAGCAGATAATTAAAAAAAGTCCTGAGCTATAAAATTTGAATTTTATATGGCGAAATGAAAAAGAAAATTTTGAAAGCTTCCATTTTATACCAAAATTTAGATGCAAATCGACAACGCCTTATTCGTCGTAATTATTACTGGTATATAACACAAAAAGCTGAACGAATTAAAAAAAGACAAAAGCTTATGTCGGTGGATCGACTTGCACCATTGGACGCAATTTGTGTGGTCATATTTTGCTGCTAATTCGTTATGTGGTTCTTTTCTTCCCTTTTTTGTTCAGAATTTAGTGGCATATTTGAAGAAATCCCGCTGGATATGAAATATATATTGCTAATTTTCCTTCAACCCGGATTATTAATAGCCGAGAACGACATGGACGAATCGAGATGACTAGATTTTGATCGCATCACCACTCAAACTTCTTGAACAAATAATGAAATAAAATAAATATAGCTGCATTACTTGAGTAAAATATGACAGTAGTATTTATTTATATTTGTATTATTACTTGAGAAAAGGATAAAATTTCAGATACTTTTTCAAACAGCGAGTTGCGATGAGATTCGACAGGCGCTTATCAATTACGATCAGTCGGTTCATCATCCCGAAAAACTCATTTAATGTCAACTCAAGAATCAATATTTGTGTAAATATGTAAATCGCCTTGTTTGATTCCCCAGTATAAATTAATTAACTTCTATCTCCGTATTAATTATTATAATGCTGTAATTGAACCCAAGATTCAAGGAAATATCAGTATTTTGCAAAAGATAGATATCTTGTATGGAGGATGCTAATCATATCATTCATTATTGGTACAGCGTGACTCGATAGTTTAGTTGATATTTAATTTCGATCCGAAATATTTGAGATATTTTCTTAGATTATATAGAATTGTTCTATTTATATTTTAGTGGTGAAAATATTCGTTTTTTGCAAATTGCTGTATTAAACTATTTTTGTTGTGCAGTTCGATACAACAAACTAAGTTTAAGATGAAATTAAGTTTAAATTTACGATGATCGCCTAGCCTATTTATATTTGACAATCAACAGATCGACGAAATCAACGAAAGGGGAAAAACCAATGAGTAGATTAACGTTCATTTAAGCACTCGTAACACCAAAGTTTCTTAGCCTTTTTTTAAATTTTATGGCAGCTTAATGGAGCCTGTAAACCCCATAGAAATTTTTCTCAGAACCAAAGGTTACATCCATAACCAACAGAAATAAGAAATCAAAAGTCCATGATGGGATGCTCCTAATAGCCAGAAATTGATTCCAAATATAATGGACCCACTCCACAGGACTCTAACTTGTGAGCTCACCTTATCCCCGCCCCTCGTTTCTTCTTTTAAACCCTCTGCACATCAAACTTTAATGATAATACACTCCAGAATTACATGATATATACTCACTTTCATAATCTTCACTGACCCTCACGTGCGCCCTCCAATATCCAATATAACCCCACATATATGAAAATATGATACTCATATTGACACATCCTCAATTTAATAATCCACCACATGGCTATATATATATGTTTCCTTAAATTGTGTTTGGCTGTTTCGCAATGGAACCTGTCAAAGCATAATGAAACGACGTTCTCTACGCGCAATTCGTTTATTATATAGATAATCAAAAGGAGGAGACCCTTGCAACAACTCGAAAAGACCATTATTCACTCAGAAGCCTAGCAACGTCAAATTCCATTTCAAATTCGCTGAGGAATAGCATTTCGATCTTAAGTTAATATTTCCTCCATGTTAAGTTGGTCATTTGGAAATAATTTGGATTATTTATACTAAATATGAGTTGGGAGCCCACTGTGCTATAAGTTATCTCAGCTATGAGCCCAGTTTGTAAAGTACGGTTCTCTAAAGACGAGAGGGATGGGATCTTTATCGTTTTCCCTTAGCCTCGCGTTTATTATCATCGTTCCTGCGTATATTTTAGATCAACGATGAATATTCAACGATTTTTAAAAATTCTTGTCAAGATCTTAGACTAAATTGGTGAATTAAAGAAAAAACTTTGCTGGAGAAAAAACCTTGAAAATTTTTTGCGCTTTTTATTCCCCATTAATTTCATTAAATTCAAAAAGTCGTCTTTTTACAATATTGTTGGGAAGAACAAGTGAAAACTCAGATTTGATGATATCTTTTTCAGCTTTTTGTCGGAAAAACCGAAATAAGCATTTTTCCCATGCTCAGAATCATGATTAGCTATCTAATCTTTCAATCATCTAAAAAATCCTTTTTTTTGATTTCCGTACACTTTGTAACTAATTTGTAAAAATCTTATCTTACGTACAAATCATGAAAAAGTTGCACCTCCGGCGTTTTTTGTATTTTTCTCTTGTAGCTGTGAGAATACTGTCAATTTGTAAAGATTTTTGTACATCTGATATCATGGTAATGCAAAGTAGTCTCCGACTAGGAAATATGCAAATAGCGATGGATGCTGCGTGAAAAACCTACTTATCAGTCCGATCGCATTTAAACTTTGTTTTTTTACTTTGAAATCTTGGCTATAAATCGATGTTTCCAGATAAAAACCTTACAAAAAATGAATTTAAAAAATGGAATTTTTTTTAATTTGATGTATTTTTTAATTTAATATACAATTTTGCAGTAGGTGTCAATCCATCTACGACAAGAGATGGT